ATATATATATATATATATATATATATATATATTTTAAATAAACATTTCATATTATATTTCACTCTGAGTTTATGCTGTTGAGTATTTTTCAGGGAATTATCGTGATGGCAGCTACAAACTTACCCGATATACTCGATCAAGCTTTGACTAGACCTGGTAGATTTGACCGGCATGTAAGTTTTATATAAACATAACCATTCAGCTATTTTAACACAATTAGCCTAAATTAGCCTAATTTCAAAGGAAAACTAATGCCTAGGAAAAACTTTTTTCTAGATTGTTGTTCCGAATCCGGATGTTCGGGGTCGAAAAGAGATATTGGATCTCTATTTACAAGACAAACCTTTGGCAGATGATGTTGACGTGAAAGCAATTGCTCGAGGAACTCCTGGATTCAATGGAGCAGGCATTTTTTTCTCTCTTTTTTTACCTCTAATCATTATTTGATGATTACAGAAAATCTTATACGTTTAGATGGGTATTAATTTATTATCCAGCAGCTTTATTAGGGAAAGAAAATTCGAAAAAGATGATTTTTAGTTGCAGAAAAGGGTTCAACTTTCATGAAGTCTACTTCTTTTTTAGTCGCCAAAGAAGATTGTGAAAATGCATAATGCATCAAGAAATAGACTATTTGGTTCACTAAGAGCGTGCTTGTATACAAATATACCCGTTTAAAATGAGTTTTTTTGGTTAAACCAGAGTTAATTTTGAAAAAATTGGTATGATTAGTTGTTAGTGGATTTTGAGGTTATATTAAAATAATAATTAAAATAAAATAATTAAAGTTGATTTAATGTAAAAGTAAGAGAGAGATGATGTGAAGTGATGGTTAGTTAAATTAAAATAATGTGAGTGGATGAATAATGAATTAAAATTGATGTGATGTATAAGAATGATTGTTTGGTATTATTTAATTATATTAATAATATTGAAGATAGTGGAGTTGGGTTAAAGTTGAGTATGAATTGGATAAATTTATAAACAAACACACCCTAACTCATTTCATTTCATTGAACAGATCTGGCAAACTTGGTAAATATTGCTGCCATTAAAGCAGCCGTTGAAGGAGCTGAGAAGTTGACTTCAACTCAGTTAGAGTTCGCGAAAGACCGGATAATGATGGGAACCGAAAGGAAGACAATGTTCGTATCTGAAGAATCAAAAAAGGTTTCTCATTTTTTCTCATTAAATAAAAAAAATAAATAAAATAAAATAAAAAATTGAAGTGCCTATAAATAATCGAGCTACTTTTGTTTTTGACGTAAAAAAAAGCTCACCGCATATCACGAGAGTGGGCACGCTATAGTTGCTTTAAACACCGAAGGCGCGCACCCGATTCACAAAGCCACAATCTTGCCACGTGGCTCGGCTCTTGGAATGGTCACCCAACTCCCTACTAACGATGAGACATCGGTCAGCAAAAAACAGTTATTGGCTCGGTTAGATGTTTGTATGGGTGGACGAGTAGCGGAGGAACTTATCTTCGGGCAAGACCATGTTACGACTGGGGCAAGTAGTGATCTTAACACGGCTACCGAGCTTGCCCAGTATATGGTACTTAACCCCATAATTTCATAATTATGACAAAATTGCATATAAAGTCACCACTTTTAAGGCTTTTGTAATTTAATCACCACCTTTTGCTATTTGCGCTTAAATCACCACCTTTCACATGTTTTGCAGATCGAAGCATAAATTTAACTTCCGTTAGATTTTCATCAGCTCTTATCTAACGGAAGTTAAATTTATTCTTCGATCTGCAAAACATATGAAATGTGGTGATTTAAACACAAATTGCAAAATATGAAATGTGGTGATTTAAACACAAATAGCAAAAGGTGGTGATTAAAATTGCAAAAGCCTTAAAGGTGGTGCTTTTATATGCAATTTTGCCAAGGGGAAAATGCAAAACTTGCTCCTTTGGGCTAATGTATCTTTTGTCCTGTCGATATATATATTTGTATATTCCTTTTACATTATAAGGTTTCGGTAAATTTTGGGGAATATTCTTCCTTTTTAAGGTATCGAGTTGTGGGATGAGTGATGCAATTGGACCCGTTCATATCAAAGAACGACCGAGTTCGGAAATGCAGTCTCGTATCGACGCTGAAGTATGTTTCTTATGATATTTCAACACTTGAAAAACAGTTTGTAAATAATAGATAATAATATCTGCACGTCGTTTTGCTGGTTTTTTTCAGGTGGTAAAGCTATTGAGGGAAGCTTATAATCGAGTGAAAGCTTTGTTAAAAAAGGTAACCTTTTTTTTTTTTCAATTTGGCGTAATTATTCGACTTCCAACTTTCGAGCTTTTGTATGTACATTGATGTTATATGATGCACCCTTTGAAGCTCACAAAGCCAAATGAACCTTCGAAAATAATTTATCCGGCATGACGAAACTGAATATAATTTATATTCAGTCGAACGCTAAAAATTTCTGCAACTTTCGATTTCTTCTCCTTTCTTTTTTATCCAGATTTTGATTATTTTGTATTTGCAGCACGAAAAGGCATTACACGCTCTAGCAAACGCGCTTTTGGAGTACGAAACTCTAAGTGCAGAAGAAATTAGACGGCTTCTCGTTCCTTTTAGCGAGGGACGATTTTCGTTAGAACAAGAACAACAACAGATGGAGGAGGAAGAGCTTGTTTTGGCTTAAAGCCACAGCTTCTTATATCATAAAATTTATGTTATTTCTCATAAATATAAAATGGAGCTGTGTGTACAGTATATAATTAGCTTCCTTCATCATCATTCATTAATTTTGGCAGTTTTTAGAAAAAATCTCATTTGGTGGTTGTAAAATAGCACCATTAGAATATCTAAATGGACTTTGTGTTTTTTTAGTGAGGATTATACAAGGGAAGTATACATATTACAGAACTAATTAATGCAAGTGATCATTTCCTTTTGGTTTGTTCTTTTATGATTTGTTGTTGTTTTGCACTGTGTTGGGGTTAATTTTATTTTATTTTTTGTGTAAATAATAATAATAACAATTACAATTTAACTCCAACTGTTGATTTGCTTTGTTCTTTTCTTTTTGGAGAAGATAGAAGTAAACAAAATAAATCACTAATAAACAGCTAAGAGCGGAAAAGACATTACCAAATTCCCACACGAATTAATATAATGGAGACAAACATTAAATATATAAAAAAAGGTAAATAAAAGAAAAATAATCTGTACACAAAAGGAATAACCTAAAAGCTGCCCCCCACTATAACTTTATCAATAACCAATATAAAATGCAAATTAAATATAAAAAAAAAAAAGAAGAATTCACATTAAAATTAAAAATATATACAAGAAAAATAATCTGTAGACAAAAAGAATACAGTTCTTGTATTGTAAAATGCAAATTATTAAATTAAAGCAAAAAAATTCCAAAAAGTGATTGTCCACTTAGGACTGGCCCATCTAGCTTTTATTGGGCCAAGGCAGCACCGGCCCGTTATCCTCCCACTGTAGAGAGAGGGAAGTTATCGCTGCTCTGTGAGGCCAGCCTGACGCAATGCCCTCCACTCTACGGACCACGAAGCCCAAGCCTTCGCATGGACCACGCGGCCCAACTCCCTACTTGGAACGGGCGGGCCAGCCTTTCACTACCTAAGGCCCAGCTAGTTGGGCAGGCCCATTGTCCAATCACCTTAATGCCCCTACTCAGGTTACAAGCTGGCGTTACCCAGCTCGGCGATAGAATGTTGATTCTATGGAGTTTATATTGGTTTTCAGATTTTGATAATGTCTCAATGTGGGATAATTTCCACTCCTTTTATTCATTTCAAACTGTTAGAAACAGGCAAGCAAATTGAATTGGATTCAATTTGATGGCACCTACGAAATGTTGACTCTTTTATTTCTTATTGAATTAACCGATCAACAGTCTATCGGACATTTCTTTTGAATTCGATAGTTTTGACAACCAAAGTTCGACATGGTTTTTTATTAGTTATTGGGAAAGAAAGACTGTCAAATAACTCAAATTTATGTTGTTCATAAATAAAAAATGACTGAAGGAAAATAGATATTATGATTAACATCTCAAATTTATTGAGATGCAATTCTTACACGAAATCGTGAAAGTTTTAGAATGGCGCAACCACGCGAAAAGAAATCGACATTTCAGTGTAAAAATCTCAGTTTTAGAACGGTATTATCACACAAAAATTAATCAGCTTTTTCGATATCCTTGAATATTTGATTAACATTTTGGTTTTTCTTGGACCCCATTTTCATTACTTGTTATTTGCTGGTAAATTCCATGCATTTGTATGTGCTTGTTGTAAAATCGACTTAAATTGAAGCTGGAAATTGTGAAAAAATGGCAGTTGGTTTTATTCCCAGCTGTAACCTAGCCAGAAGTCAAGATCTTTGAATCAAATTAAATTAAGCTTTGTGCAGAATATTTGTCTAATTCAGAAATTGTTTTTACAAATGCAGAGCCCTGAATTATTTCTAGGCTCCCGTTGGAGATTTTTTTCCATTCATTCACATAATCCAAAACTTCATGTAAACTGTGTGTGGTTCATTAGCTCTCTGGAGATTCAAAAACTCCCGAAAACAACTTCATCAACTTATATTAACAAGCGTAAACAAGCCCAAAATTGAGTTCGAGATCAGATCGTTTATCAATATTAACGAGCCAAATTTAAGCTTTAACAGCCGATCTCGAGCTTTAACGAGCCGAACTATAAAAGAATATATAAAAATTCTCATTTTGAGTCTTATCGAGTCGAACCAATCCCGACTCGCTAAAGAAACGAGTTTTAAGCGAGCTCGACTCGTTAATTTTCCCACCAAATTGAAATTTGGTGCTGCGAAAGTTCTTTTAGTCAGTCCCCACAAGAGAAAGAAAACTTTGAAATGCCAAAAAATGTGTAGTTGAAAATGTTGAGTAGGGTTTCCATTTTTCGGATTTTATTAAAACCAACGTTTTTGTTACATTAACTAGAGTTTGAATTGACTTGGGTTAAGTGTGACATTGTGTTCAACTATAGTTACTTTAAGTAGTCTTTCTTTCTATTTTTGTACCCCCTTCGTTTAACCGGAGCAAAATTTGGAGAAACATTTCATATATTACATCTGTCAAATATTCTAAATTAAATTTAGATATTCGTTTCTTAATTAATATTTTCCTTGCATTTTCTTTCTCCATGTAAAGTTTCGAATTTGTTACTCAATTTCTAATTTTGGCCTATTATTATTGCAGTTCCCTTGGCCAGAACCTTAAACAAGTACATGCATATGTTTGAGATATTTGCTTTTGCTGTTTTCATATCCATTTCAGGCTTAGTGCTTTTCTCATTATAGATATGCAGATTGATTTTTTAAAGATAAAAAAATAAATTTGCAGGACTTGGAAAAGGGGAACTTAATTGTAACCACACTAACTGTACATGGAGAAACACACATGATACATATGCCAAACTTGCATCTGAAAAAAATTTGTAAGTCTTGGAAAAGGATTTTAACTCTGACTAGACGAACATAAGCCGAACGAGCGATGATTTTAACCCATCAAAAGGTTATCGGCTAGTTTACACATGAGGACAGTATAAGAGGCTTCAGTTCAGTTTTGGCCCTTGCACATTGGCTGTTTAGAATGGTATCAAGAGTGGAGACTGCTTCTACAATATGCTTTCCCTTGTTCAGCATTACACAGCTTGCCCTGTGACCCAATAAAACTCAACTCATCAAACAAGAATCTCATGCAAATATTAAAAGCATATTTGTGCTCAAAATCTGATTATGAGAATCAATCTAGCTACCAAAATACAGCATAATCTTCATAAAATGCAACCATAAGAGCGGGAAATTGATGGAGAAGATACAGAACTCAAGTGGGTTGCTTGTAAAACCTTTTTTCACAAACTCTGTTTTTGTAGTTTATCCTTGACAATATTTTCCTTCAAAACCAATTTTTACTTGGCTTTTATATTTTTCCATGCAAGTAGAGCACAAGATTGACACACGGAACAAAGGCTATGTTTGGTAACCAAATAAGCTAGCTTGTTTGGTAACCAAATAAGCTAGCTTGTTTGGTTAGCTTATAAGATTCATGTATTCAAATAAACTTCGTTCGTTTGGTAGGACCAGCTTTTTTAAAAAACTCGAGCTCATCTCATATGTTTCTCTGGGTAGCTTTTCAAATAAGCTCGTTGAAATTTTTATGTCAGCTAGCTTATCAACCTAATTTTACCAACCACCTTTATCATATAAGCTAGCTTTTCAGCTATAAGCTCGAAAATCACTTATAAGCTATAAGCCAGTTTATCAGCTATCCACATGGATAGCTAGTTTATCAGATATTTTTACCAAACATAGTCAAAGTTTTATCAAACATGGTCAAAGTAATCGAGATCAAATATTTAAAAGTACACCTTACCTCCTCCCGTTAGCCGCATCTACAATTTCTGCTCGACTCGGCACGCCCGTCTTCACCAACGACTCCAAAACCTGAGTGGCAAGAATAACCGGCACATGCGCAGCCTTACAAATCGAAATAATCTCATCTTGAATATCTGCAAGCTTCTCCCACGCGCACTCCACCGCTAGATCGCCTCTCGCGATCATCACCCCTAGCGGGTTCCCCATCTTCATCGCCTCAAGAACCAACAGCGGAAGCTTCTCGAACCCACCTCGAGTCTCGATTTTCAACACAACCCCCAAATTCGAAACCTTCCTCTTCTCGAGCTCACGCCGCAAGACGACAATGTCGCCAACATCCCGGATAAACGAGACGCCGACCATGTCAGCATTAGCGGCCACAAAATCGAGATCCACGAGATCTTTCGACGTGAGCCCCTCATACCGAATCTCGCTCTCGGGAATGTTTATCGATTTTTCCGAGCCGAGCTTCGTGCCTCTCGGGCCCGCGTGAGTTACGGTCACCACAACTTCCGAAAAGCTCGTCCCTTTCACAACCCCCCATATTTTGCCATCGTCGAAGGCTATGGGGTCACCCGGTTTGACCGAGTCGAACAGGTAACCGGACGGGCAGGTGACTCGGTGCTCGTCTGAACTGTCTCGAGATATTGTCAGCAAATCGCCAGCTCTCAGTCTGACGAATTGCTCGGCGGGGGGAATATCGACCACGAACCCGACCCGCGATTTTTTATTTTTTTTCCCTTTCTTTTTTTTTACGCGAAGTACTGTGCCGGACTCGATATACGAAGTGTCGAAGCACTTGGCCATAAATCCGGTGCCGGAAAAAATCGGATATTTGCTCGAGATCGTGAGGCTCCTCCGTTTTCCACGGGCATCGGAGAATCTCACGGTATCATCAATCTCTAGCTCGTCGAGAAATTTCGGGCCGTCGACGTGCAGAATGACGTCAGGGGAGAGGTGAGCTGGCGGTGGGCCCGACCCTTGATGGGCCAGCCAGACGTGGGCCCCGCGAGCCGTATTGCCATATGGGCCCCTCTTTGGGCTGACTTTCACCACACACGGGCCTTCCTTAAATCTTCCTGTACGGAGCTTGGGCCCGGCTAAGTCCATGAGTACTCGGCATGGTTTTTCGAGAAGGCCAGCGGATTTTCTCACCGTGCTTATCATCTTGCTCCATATTTCAGGATTTCCATGCGCGCAGTTGATACGGAAAATTGTGGTGCCTGAATTGATGAGGTCAGCTACCTGCACGTCGTTTTCCACGACCTCTTGGCCGATTGTTACCATGATATGCGACTTTTTCTGACCTTGAAGTTTCCCCATGAGCCGATCGCGATTAGAAGATGCCCTTTTAATCATTGAAGTCATTCCAAGATCCGATTTTTCAGTGTCGAGGACTTCGTGAATTGGATGGTCTTTGCTGGGAATGGTTAATCTGTGAAGGGAATCTGATCTCGAGCTGAGTAGCGTTTGGATGCATGCGGAGAGACTTGAGAAAACGTGTGTATGAATTGTATCAAGATTCAAAAGCCCGGCTGCAGAAAGCTCTTCGTTTATCTGTTGTGTGTCCAGGCTTTTTAGCGACAAGTAGTGCAACAGATTTGTCGAACTTGCAGAGTAGTTCCTGCAAGATGAATGTGCAAATGAGGTCATAACACCAAATCCCATTTTTGGAACACCAAATCCCAAGTCATAAACATAAATACACAATGAGCCACCAATTTTGGAAAGACACTCTCGAGAAAAAGATAATTGTTTTATCTTCACCACAACACTATCTCGATCAGCATTAAACTGTTAAGCCGATGAGCACTTAGGAGAAGAACAAAGTTAAATACAATGGAAAATCTCATAACAAGTCACCCATGGAAATTCAGCTCAGGGAAAGGTAATGCTTACTGGTGACACGTTTTAAGCCTCGACGAATTCCACTGTTCCATTGCTAGAATGTGCAGATGAAAGGCCTTCAGCTTATCCAGAACACTCTCTCGATTTCCGTTTTTTGCAGCATTTGGTTGGAAATCAGCATCTGATTGAATCAAGACAGCTGTCTCTTTCCTTTGCTCCCTCGAATTTTCATCATCCTCAGGGCCCACAAAAGCTTGACCATCTGTAAGATGAGGTGAGCACCCTATTTGGGCATTATCACGTTCGGGTGGTAAACTGCGTGCAGCAATCCTTGTTGCGAGTTTTACCCGGTTTTGAAATAGAAATACCTGGTTCTTACAAGATGGAAATTCATTGCCAGATTTACATTGAAGAAAGCTGGGATTTCCATGTATGAAATCAGGGAACCTCGCCTACAAGAGAAAAAGAGTCAATAGATAATCGAGATAAAGATGAATGTTTAATTTTCAATAAGATGATAGCTTCTGAACAAATTATCCCACAGGCCATTCATAACTAGATCAACTTCCTCTTCCAATAAATTAATGATTGATCACATAAACACAAATGTTTTTGCAAGAAAAAAATAGGTGAATGAAAAATAAAAACTACTTACCAAACTCGGTTCTAACTACATATCCACAAACACCAATTCATGCAGAGGTTTACATGTCTAGGATGAAGATAAAGGATACTCACATGATCCAATATTGAGGTCTGTGGAGTTATAGAGCAAACTGACAAAGCTCCTATCGTCATATCTAGATTATGATTCCCTGTAAAACCATAACGAGAATAAATTCACTGGTTTTCATTCAATCAACAAGCTTATGTCTACTTTTTTTCTTCAAATCCATAACAAGATATAATTCATATTAAAAGACCATGGTCTTATTTAT